CTCTGGACACTATAGGTCTAGGTTGCCATTTTAAAATCTTGGTCGGATTTTGTGGTTCATGTAAGCAGGAACTAGGTAACATTCAAAGGCTGTGCTGCTATGTGAATTGTCTAAAAGTAATGCACTACATGGTCATTCCATATGAAACTTTTCTCTGTATTGCTATTTTCTTGACAAACTTCAAAATTTTCCAGTATTGATCAGCTTTACTTCTCTGTACTTGATTTGTTACTCATAAATGATTAGCACGTCCTCATGAATGAAGTTTTCATTTTGTTGTGGTTGACCTTTATTTTTCCTGTATGATATATCTTTTGAGTATTCCTTATGTTTACAGCAGTTATAGATATCATGCGTCTTAATCTTCCTGACATTATTTGTTAAGTTTTAGTTGTGCACTTTATTTTGAATGCTTACCCGTTTGGAATGGTTTTCTTTGCATATGATGTTTTGTTTTAGATACTTGGAGGACAGATGTCAAAACTCAAGAAATCGAGCACGCAATCAACACAGTTGCCCCAGGACAGCTGAGAGCTGTCTACGTTTCTGAGGTAAGGTCCAACTAAGGTTATTGTCCTGTAATCCCTGTTTAATGAACGCTGTCAAGAAGAAATTAAGGGAGCCCCTTTAGATCATGGAATGCAAACTTTATGGAAGTGGCACTCTGATTACTTTTGGAACCTATGCTGTCGTTATTATGCAATTGCCTTGAATTTGCAAGATGGCGACATCTATGAAATAATAGGAATATTCGGAGCATCAGAGTAGAAATTGGAAGTTGGGGCAGAGGTATTTTGGGGTTGCGCTATGTAAGGTTTCAAAGCTGCTGCATGGTACTGAAACCCTCCTTCCTAGAAATGAGCTTCACAAACCATAAAAAATACCATTTCTTAAATTTTTAGAGAATGCATGTTTTGTGCGTATCTCTTATTCTGATCTCATGTATTTCCATGTTTCCTAACATGTTTCTTTGATTTTATCCAATCGTCCTTACTGCTATGCTTTCCTTGGTTGTTCATGTATTCTTTTTGGAATTTTCTTTTTTGTTTTGGTTATTAATTAGCTTTTGTTGCTCGTTATACCAAAAGATATATATATAGGGAAAGGTTTCTATGCTTCCCCTACAACATAGAAGTTCTATCCTCTCCCTACCTTCCAGCCGTCCAATTTTGATCAAGAGAGCCACTCACCGTTTGATCTTAAATCCGACGTCTCAAAGTATTTTATTTTTAGTTTTTTTTATACAAATTGTATGAATATGAAATTTGGTGTGTTCTATCTTCTCATTGGGGCGCATCTATAAAAAATATTTAAAATAATTTTTCAGTAAAATATAATGACCAAAATACCCCTTGAAACTTTCAGGGGTATTTTGGTCATTTTATTTTATTGAAAAATTTTTTTTTATATTTTTTGCTAGTGCGAGTTTAATAGAGGATTGGACGTCGAAAATTTGGTGTCAATATAGTTTATATAGAAAAAATAAAAAATAAAATAGTGCAGAGACATGACATTGTGATTGGGGCAATCTTAGCCCTCCATTCAGAATGGACAGTTGGATAAAGGGGAGGATAGAACTTCTATGCTCTAGGGGAAGCATAGAAAGCTTTCCCATCTATATATATATATATATATATATATATATATATATATACTATATATATTAGTTT